GATATGTGGACCAACTCCCAGAATCCCCCAGCCAGCATGTTTTAAGGTATGTGGACCTCAATTCCCAGAATTCCCCAGCCAGAATGCTTTCAGCTGGGTGGACTTCAACTCCCAGAATTCCCCAACTAGCAAGCCTGCCTAAGGAATTCTGGGAATTGAAGTCCATTCATTGTAAAGCTGCCATGGTTGGGAAAACACTGACAGTTAACTTTTGTGTTGAATTTATATTTACCGACAAAGAAATAAAGGGAGACTAGCATAAATCTATTTCAAGCTATTTAGCTCCCATCAGCTAGCAATCCTTCTGGGATTCGAACCTCAGCTAGTCATACTGACAGTTAACCAAGAACAACCAGGGATTAGTAGGTGTTCCATGCAAAAATCTAGATTATCTCAAGACCCCCTAAAGTCAAAGGGGAGATAAAAAAGATTGTAAATTATTTAGGACAATTATCCTGGTTCCCTTAAGAAACTTCTGCTAGAATTGTCTTTGCATAACACTGGAAAGGTGAAGAGATCCCTACTGATGAGAATGTGATTAGGAAAATACTAGATTGTGCAGAAATGAATAGATTAACACTTGCAATTAAGGAGAAAGAACCAACTGACTATTATATGACATGGGAATTATTTTACCGATGGTTAGAGAATAGAAACGGAAGTTAGAAATAAAAGGAGGAGATCAGTGAAATATAGAAAATATGTTAAGATAGAGATGTAAACAATACGATGATCGTTATTATGACTATTAGGATTATTACATTTATTATTATTTTCTTATTAGAAGACACGTTAAGAGGGAGAAATGAATAGGTTTACGATGTTAAATATTACTACTGTAAGATCAGAGAATCAATATCAATGTAATGTAATACTGTTGTAAATTTTGATTGTTATTGCACAGATTGCAATTTGTACCCAGACGACACACTATTTAATGGAAGGTGGAATGTTCGTAGAATAGAATTCTTTTATTGGCCAAGTGTGATTGGACACACAAGAAATTTGCCTTGGTGCAAATGCTCTCAGTGTACGTAAAAGAAAAGATACATTCATCAAGAATCATAAGGTACAACACATAATAATAGTCATAGGGTACAATAAGTAACCAGACCATACTAGGAAAAGCCAATATAAACCATAAGGATACAAGCGACAAAGTTAGAGTCATACAGTCATAAGTGGGAGGGAATGGGCGATAAGGAGTGATGAGAAGATTAATAGTAATAATAATGCAGACTTTGTAAATAGTTGGACAGTGTTGAGGGAATTAATTGTTTAGCAGAGTGATGGTGTTGGGGAAAAAACTGTCCTTGTATCTAGTTGTTCAGGTGTGCAGTGCTCTATAGCGTCGCTTTGAGGGAAGGAGTTGAAACAGTTTATGTCCAGGATGTGAGGGGTATGTAGATATTTTCACAGCCCACTTTTTGACCCGTGCAGTAGACAGGTCTTCCATGGAAGGCAGGTTGGTAGACATTGTTATATTCATATTAAAAAAATAAAATTTTAATTAAAAAAAGAAACTTCCTCAAATCCCAGATCTACTAGGCACACAGGTACACGACTAAACAACACACAAAGGGCAACAAGAATATCATCACCCTTGGAAGGTGAGAAAACTGAAAGTTACATAATGATCATCCTTCAAGACAGCCGAAATATGGCGTTGCCCTTGTACGCAATGGGCAGCCAGCCTTACCTGCGTGTACAGGTAACGCAGAAGGAAGTCCAGCAGGAAAGACTTGCCCTTGCGGAAAGCGCCTGCCACGGACACAACCACCACGTCAAGGTCACGGATGGCATCTTGCAGCAGGACTTGGCTCAACGCCTTCTCGTCCAACTCAAAGGAATGTTGTTCTTTGTGGACCAAAACGATTTGAACAGGACCCGGCTTGGTTCCAACCATGGCATCTCCTCCTGTTCCGGTCAAGAAAGGGGGAAAAAAATAATAATTCACCAATACACGTACAGGTAGTTCTTGACTGACGATGGTTCGTTCTAGTGACTGTTCAAAGTGACAACTGCCCTGGAAAAAAGCGACATAGGGTGCTAATTTTCCACACATGGGATTGTGATGACCCGGGGTGTGACACAAAAATAATAAAGTCACAAAAGTAGAATAAATTCCCTTTAATGCCTCCAGCTTGGCCCCAATGTCCAGTTATCCTTGGCTGGATGTCAAACTCTTCAAAAAACAGTCTACGAAGGGCAGAAATGCAGTCCGAACCCAAAGTAAAGATAATTAGAAATAAAAAACAAACAAACACAAACAGCACTGAAGTAATTAACATGGCAGGCCAGGATGATAAATTGCAGACTTTCAAAGCATAATGCAGCACCCACAGTTGGGAGGACACCAAAAGCCAGATAAGCCTCGGCAAAGATAATGCACGCTTTGCTTCCAGCAAGGAGCCGTGTGCAAACACCCCTCTTATATCCTGTTCTCCCAGCTGCAACTAATGAAAGGGATCAGGGCCTTTCCCACTCCCATAAGCCACATTGCTCCCTTCTCTATTCCTCCCTGCGTGCCCCAGGATGAAGAGGGGGTGGGCCTTGGTCTTCCTCTGAATGCCCAATCGGACTGTGCTCTTCCCCCGTTTCTTCCACAGCCACCGGAGCCCCACTCCCACTCCCCGTCAGCTCTTCAATCTCCCCCTCAGAATCAGACTCCAACAAGGGCATGACATGGGACCATCACAGCATCCCTCGGGTCATGTAGTCAAAATTCAAATGCTATTCCAGAATTTGGACAATGTAAAGAGCTTTTTTCAAGGGGAGAAGCGAAGGTACACTGCAGAGGTGGTATAGTTCGGAGAACCAGCCAATGCCACCTGACTGGCCCCGCGCCATCTATTCTCCGCCTCCCAAGTCCCAGCTGATTGGCTGGGTCTTTTGGTTGCCCTGCCCAGGAGAATGGAGCTGGAAAGCAGGTTAGTGGGGTGGGGAAGGAATGGGGATTTTGTAGTACCCTTCTCCTGCCATGCCCACCAAGCCACGCCAGGCTCACAGAACCGGTAGCAAAACTTTTGAATCCCACCACTGTTACACTGGTCTCCTTTTTATAATCAAGGCAAAACACAGTTCAGAAAAATCAAGACTTAAAACAAGAGACAGAAATGCTTTGTCCTCAGAAATTCTTCCACCGTGGTACTATTTCCATGTCTAAACATTTTCCGTTCCCAAACAGGAATCCTTGCTTGCCAAACAAAGACATTTCAACGGTGTGATTTTTCCCTCCCAGCCCCCCAAAAACCACAACTTATATAATACACATGTGGTTGTTTGAGCTTGCTGAAATTTCTTCTTTGGTGTCTACGCAACGCCTTACAATGTAAAGAATGTTGATATTTACACTGTGGGGATTGGGCCAGTTTCAAAACATTTACAAACATTTTTGATAAAAAAACTATTTTGTGCCGAGCCACTGAGAGCGCGTAACAGGCCACAATAAGTATGTTTTATTGATTTTCTTTCCATAATGCATTATTCCAGTTCAATTTTCTGGACTCCTGAAAAACCAATTAAGATATATTTATATAGCAAGGCCCTGGATTTAAAAAGCTCCATTCATCCATCTTATCTATCTCTATCATCATCTATTTATTAATCTATTATCTATCGTCTATTTATCTGTTAATCTATATCATCTATTTATCAATTATCTATCAATCTATCTTTATATCTTATCTATCTCTATTTATCTTATCTATCTTATCTATCTAACCTATCTAATCTTTCTCCCTCTCCCTTATCCATCTTATCTATTTCCATCCATCCAGAGTACGTATACACATATACAAATATACCCAATAGATATAAGGAAGAGGTATTGCAGTTTTCCAGTTCTGATTTTTTTTAAAGAATGGAGCTAGATGACTTTCCTTCATCACTCCAGAAAGTTGGACTAGATCAGTGTTTTTAAAACCTGGCAACTTGGAGGGGTGGACTTCCGCTCCCAGAATTCCCCAGCCACCATGATTTAAGATGGGTGGACTTCCACTCCCAGAATTCCCCAGCCAGCTGAGGGATTCTGGGAGTCCACCCATCTTAAAGCATCCAAGTTGGAAAGCCGCTGCACCAAATCATGTTCCCTTCCCGCTGTATAATTTCAATGACACACTTTGTTGTTTGAAAAGAAGACGCAGATGCTCCATGCAGTGTGTTTTTTCTCCAGGATGCAGCCGCGTCGAACGGTGAAGCAACAGGACGACGAAAACACTGGGAAAAACAGCTGCATTTCCTCCTCCTACTTTTTCCTCTTAACTCAGACAAATGGTTGTTCAATCTCTTCTTAAAAACCTCCAGTGTTGGAGCACCCACAATTTCTGGTGGCAAGCAGTTCCATTGGTTAATTGTCCTCCTCACTGTCTGGAAATTTCTCCTAAATTTATTCCAGGTTGCTTCTCTCCTTGATTAGTTTCCATTCGTTTCTTCTTGTCCAGCCTTCAGGTGCTTTGAAGAAGAGGTTCTTTGTGGCAGCCCCTCAAAATATTGGAACCCTGTAATCATGTCACCCCTTAGTCTATCTTTTCGTCAAGCTAGACACGCCCAATTCCAGCAAACATTCTTTATATATTTTTTGTAACTTCCAGCCCCCTAATTATCTTTGTTGCTCTTCTCTGGCACTCTTTCCAGAGTCTCAACATCCTTTTTTTCATATTTTGGCCAAATTGGATGCAGCATTCCAAGTGTGGCCTTAACAAGGCCTTAGAAAGCAGTATTAACACCTCACGTGATCTTGAGTCGATCAAAATTCTAGCTTGTAAATGTGGGGCAAGGACCCTCGACCAGATCTCGCAAGCCCCCTTTGGCTGCTGCTGCTGCTTCTGGGCTCTCCTGGGGATTCATGCTGGGGAGGGCTGGAAGCCAAGGAAAACGTTCATTTGAAGGCCGATCCCATCCTCAGATGCTCCAAAGCGGTCCGTTACCATGGCAACAGGGACGGAGTTCCAGAAAAGCACTAAAATCGCCAGAGATGTTTTGCATCCTTCCAGCCGTCATTATTTCACAGGAGTTCTTCTTCCATGCATGAATTCGCACAGGAGCAAATTCCATGGGCGTTTTTTTTTATTCCTAGCCACAGGGTGCAAAGAAAGCGTATTCTGTACCTGCCAGGTGCAGAATATAGAAAATAAAAAGTGTAAGGTAGGAATTCTTTATTGGCCAAGTGTGATCGGACCCACAAGGAATTTGTCTCCGGCGTGTAACCTTCACAGGGTACATACATAAAAAGAGCAAAGACATAGGCCATAAATCACAGCTACAATCGTTAATCGTAAGTTACAAACAACGGATCGATAAATAAGGAGAAGATAGTAGGAGCAACGAGGAAAAAAAAGAGAGAGAAATGAGACAATGCTGTGGTAATTAAGTGTTTAGCAGAGTTGATGGCATGGGGGGGGGGAAATATTTATGCCTGATTATTTTAGCGGGGAGAAATAGAGGTAGATTATGTCCAGGATGTGAGAGGTCTGTAAATATTTTTTTTTCAGCCCCCTTTCTGGTTTGTGCAGTACAGGTAGTCCTTGAATTACAACGGTTCATTTAGTGACCGTTCAAAGTTACTTAAAAACTGAAAAAAGTGACTTATGACCATTTTTCACACAACCTGTCAACTCATAAGACGTTCCTAGGCCTGTTTTAGTAGTGGCCACTAAAAAAAGGCAGGGGGGAGGAAGGAAATCTGGAAGAGCAGTACAGCAGTTTGGAAGCGGAAGTACATTCCAACTCTTCATCTTTAAAAGATTGAAACTAAACTACCAGAGATTTTGCCCGTGAATATATTTAATTGGAGGATGTGAATGATGACACCCAGCCTGTGAAGGTGCTCAATTGGAGAATCTGGTTTATGAGACACCCAGGGGGGAGGGAGGGGGGAAACAGGGTCACAGGGGACTGGAAATTATGTATGCCAGAATTGGTCGCATATGAATCGCCTCTAAGGAATCCTTTGAAGTTTTTTGAAGTTTGGCTTGAGAATCATGATTTAAGGGCAGCCTGTCAAGCCCGAAATTCTTCCCCCCATGACTACCACAGAGAAAGTAAGAAAAAGAATATATACTAAGACTAACTAAAATGGCTACACTTATGTCAATTTCGGGCTTGACAATTAGGGCGATTGCTGGAATCCTGACACAACCGTTGCAGCATTCCCTTAGTCATGTGTTTAAAATTTGGATGCTTGGCAACTGGTTCATATTTATGACAGGTGTAGAGTCCCCCAGGAGTCACGTGGTCCCCTTTTGCGACCGTCTGACGAGCAAAGTCAACGGGGAAGCCAGTTTCACTTAACCATGTGACTAACTTAACAGCTGCAGTGATTCACTTAAAAGCTGTGGCAAGCAAAGGTGGTAAAATGGAGCAAAACTCACTTTACAAATGTTTCACTTAGCAACAGAAATTGTCCGGCTCTATTGTGGTCGCAACTTGAGGACTACCTGTAATACAGATCCTCAAAGGAAGGCAAGGCCAGTTGCGAAAAGCGTGAAGCAGACATTTAATCCAGTGGATAATGGTGCAAGGAAAACCCCAGTGCTTTTATTTTATTTTTATGTTTTATCCGTCTTCAAAATGAAACCTCATCAACAGCCAGGGTTAAAAAAACAAAATGTACCTAGGAACCACTTTCCGTAACATCAATATTTCATCCTCGCTAATAGCTCAAGTCAACGGCCTTGGCTTCTCATTTTACAACCAGAAACAATGAAGTTTTGCAGAATAGAAGCCCAGGAAGGTGTGGGGGTTTTTTTTAAGCGAAAATCTTGCACCTCCAGAGCTGGGAAGGTGAAATGTGGCAATTTTAGCTCTTTATCGGGTGTCTGGTTTCAAGGAAGCTCTTCCCGACACTACTTCTATCTGTTGGTTGCGACGGCACTTGTTCTAACTAGAAGTTGGTGATAAAATCTCTTCTCGGGGTT